AGAGAGAGAGAGAGAGAGAGAGAGAGAGAGAGAGAGAGAGAGAGAGAGAGAGAGAGAGAGAGATGATGACCGGCAACAGCGTTGGGGACTGTCTAGCGCGTTGAGCTCTGTTATGTCCGTGTCTATGCTGTGATCTCATTAACTTTGCAATCGATGGACTGTTGGCGATTGATCTTCTTGTTCTCAATCTCAATAATCTCAATAATCTCAATACTCTCAATAATCTCAATACTCTCAATAATCTCAATTCTTCTTCCTTTGTTATGTTCCTGCTCAATTATCCGTTCAAGACTCAAATTGGGAACAGTGCACTATTTTTATTTTGCAACTGGAGAAGATTCTGAAGTGGAAACAGACTAGAAACGAAGAGAAGATTCTGAAGTGGAAACAGACTAGAAACGAAAGGGAATGGAGAAGGAAAGAAGAAGAAGAAGAAGAAGAGAAAGAAGAAAAGAAGAAGGAAGAAAAAAACAGAAAAGAAGAAGATGTCATCTTGTCCTCGACTGACTATCCTCATCTCTGTCATATCTGATTCATCTTCTCCTCTTGTAAACAATTGTAATTTAGAATAACGACTGAACAAGAAACAATATCTGGGTAATCTCTCTTTCTGCGACCACTTGAAGACCTGCTCTCCTTTAGCCCTCACTCTCAGTCCTGTCCTCATACTAGCTGCATCACTAGCTATGGCGGCTTGTCCATACTCAGCACGGATTTTAACATATAATTTTAATAGATAATTTTAATAGATAATTTTGATAGATAATTGTAATAGATAATTTTAATAGATAACACACTTCTTGTCAATGACATGCGTCCCCCATCTCATGCTGCCGTAGCCACACTCCGGGATGAGGTCCAAGAATTAGACTAAGTCCAATTGCTATCTCAACAGGGCCTTCCAGATGGAGTACGAACCAAGAAAGTGGAGATGAATGTTCATCATAAGTCTTTTTTTGGCGGTTCCCTCCTTCCTCCTCTTCTCTCTCTTCTCTCTCTTCTCTCTCTTCTCTCTCTTCTCTCTTCCTACACCTGTCTTCATAACCGTCCGGTGAGGCTCTCTCCTCCCTCTAGCTCCATAGGCTAGTAGACCTATTCCCTTCTTCTACTCCAAAGGCATGCAGATCTTCTTCGTCGCCCTCAGCTCCTCCTCCTTCATCCTGGAACTCCGCCTAACGCTCCCTCAGGGCAAAGCAGCATCATAACTGCCAGGTCACTGTCCCGGCTACTCATTGCACCAAAGTGGTATACTTTTTTTTTTTTTTTTTTTTTTTTAAAGTAAGTTACATTCTTCTCTCAATTTCACCTCACAGTACCTACCCACCACTACTCTTAATTATAGTCACACAAACACATCCAGATTCAGCCACTTATTCCAATCCACTTTGCCAGGCTGAGTGGGATCTGGCCCTAACTCTCCCTCAGGGCAAACAAAGCAGCATCACAACTGCCAGTTCACTATCCCGGCTACTCATTGCACCAAATGGCATACTTTTTTAAAGTTTTTTTTTCTTTTTTTCTTTTTTTTAAGTTAGTTACATTCTTCTCTCATTTTCACCTCCCACTACCTACCCACCACTACTCTTAATTATAGTCATACGCGGAACCCCCTAGCAGCCAGAACTGTGTTCACGAGCCCTGCTCCCCACCTGCAGGTGGTCGATACCGGATACCGGTAGGGGACAGCCTGTATAGAATCAGGGACCATGCCAACAGGACCAATCCCTGTGCCTCCCCTCAGGTGGTGGTCCCCCCCCCCCTTACGAACATCGGCAGACTCTGCTAAATGCCTATTGGGGGAATCCAGTGGTCTATCTCTGGGTGGCGGGCGCCAAGCATGCCCAGGAACGTACATGACGCCGATGGGGATTGAACAAGGCTCCAATCTATTCGTGGGGAGCAGCACGTGCTGGGAACCGGGCCCAGCGTCCCATATGGAAATTTTTACATAGAAGTTTTCAAAATTGAGCTGCGTCTCATATGCCGCTTTGGGACAACGTCCGGCGATAACCCCCCCCGACCAGGCAATCCTCTACTCTCTACCGAAATCCTTATTCTGACGGGCTCGCGATGCCCGTCCTCCCAACTGGTTCGACCAGTTAGTCTCATCACAGCTGTGTATCCTATCAGAGCCCCCCTGGCCCTGTCCTGCTTCCTCGTATCGTACTCCCAGCAGATGCTCATCTGCGTCCGGGCCTTCCCCCCAGGCTGCTTGCCCAACAGACTCCCTAATATTACCTTTTTTTGTTCTTTTTTTTTTTTAAGAGAATCCGCTCCGTCTATTGGTGGGGAGCATCACCTGCTGGAAACCGGGTCCAGCGTCCCTTAAATACCTCTTTATAAAACAGTACATCATTGAAGTGACGCCATAATTGTGCTGGAAACCGGGTCCAGCGTCCCATATCCAATCTACTCTTCCAAACTCTTCCAAACCTATCCTGCAGCAGGATCGGGTATTGGGGGGGGAAACACTGGGGGGCACCAGTGGGGTCTCCCTCCATCCCCTAGCCTCTGCCCTCCACCAACTATCGTCAGGGCGCCTATTGTATCCATATGCTGAACATTAGAGTTTCTTATGCTGAGCTGGAAACCGGGTCCAGCGTCCCTTAATTATTGCATTGACATACACGACCTCCTGAATGCTGAATGCCACTTGCGAGGCTTACCAACTGAGCTAACCCAGGCCGCTGCATCAAATGACATACTTTCTGTTTTTTTCTGTTTTTTTTGAAATTATATACTCACGACTCTCCGGTTCAAGTACCTCCTTTTTTTTTAATGGCAGTGTTTTACTCATCTGCTTCCAGTGGAGTTGGAACTTTGGTCTGTATTTCAACAGTCCCGTCTTCATCCGAACGCCGGGTCATTATCACTGTATCTAGACTGAAAGTTGCACCAAATACAGGTACAATGACCTGCCGTTCTATTCGGGTTGAAGACGGTAGTACCACTACTTCTGGCCCACCAGGTCCTGCCTTGTGAGTGCAATATCATTGCAGCCTGCCATTGCCCTACAGGGCCTGGACATTATACTATATGCCTACATGTGGGCCCTGAACCATGGTGACCTAGTACTTGCCAATGGAAGCTACCGGATCTTCGCTGCAGGCCTATGTACGTCTGGAAAATGCTACCCCCATTTCAATTTCAAATTCTCCTGTTGTCCTTGTAATAAGTCCTACCCCTGTCCCTGTCCCTAAATCTATGTACTCTTCTACCCCTGCAGGCGCCCAGGGACACAGAAAAAACAGCATTAAAAAAAAAAAAAAAAAAAAAAAAAAAAAA